TAGACAGGGTATGAGGGGGGGGGGGGGGGGGGGGAAGTATCAGTCTTGTGAGTGACCGAGAGGTAAGAAGATACCTGCTTTCTAAGTTATTTTTATACACTGTGACAAGCATGTAAGTACCATGGAAGACAATGGTCTTCCATTTAAGAACTTGAGGAGAACAGAAGATAAAACAGGAAATTGGAAAGGAAAACTCTGCTCAGCTAGAAACAAGTCACTGAGTGAATCATCCGCACTACCTCAAACAGTGATAAAAAATAAGCCCTCACTACATACAACATTGGAATACAAAGAAAGCTGACCTTCCTTTCAGCATCTCCTGGCCAGATCACGCTACTCCTCCCTATTTTATAAAAATATTTGCTACATTACTGTTGAGAAGCGGAAGACTGTCCAGACTTGTTGGTGACCCCCAGTGAAAAAATCTAATAGACAGCTACCTCAAATGCACGCCCTCTGCATTTTGAGCTTTAGGTCTGGAACTTCCACACTCACAGTATGTCTATTACTGGTTCACAGTGAATTTCCAAGCAGCTTTTCCTTCACGCTGCCCAATGTTTAAAGGTACATTTTCAAAAGAAATGAAATTAAAAAGAAAGTCAGATTAATAGCTAGAAGGAAGAGAATAAGAACAGCCTTGGAAAATTCTAGGAATGATTTTATGGCTTACCATACTCCATTTAAAGCAGTTTTAATAGTTTATCATAACTGAGTCTCCTTTGAGTACTAACCTGACACTTGTCTCCTAAATAGTACTGTCTCCCAGCAAACACCATGTAGTCAGTTTTTTGAAGCTCTAAAAATAAATGAATAAATAAATAAAAAGGAAAAAGCCTTTAAACTACTGTTCTTTCTTCATGTATCCTACAAGTACTTCATGACAGCATCCAACTGCAAGTTATAGGCCAATTGAGTTAAATATTTCCTATGCATATCTGAACATTCCCCACAGTAATGGTGAAGTAACTGTAGATGTTCGTATAACAGACCATAACCAGGCTAAGTCACAGGAGATCAATAATATCCAGATAATGCAGTAAGTAGCACTACTACTTCAATACTACAATGTCTTTTGTGATGGTACCAAGTTAATCCTGAATTTAATACCAATCCTGGTATTAAGAATGTTGGATGTGTCTTGTCTTGCCAGAGTACCGGTGGCACTTGGCAAAAAATGAGGTGTTATCCAGGAAAAACTAACATTGCCTAAAGTCTCCTTGCTGCTAGATTTCAGTACGTTTTTCTCCATTCCTTGCCTGGATTCTCTGCATGTCAGTACTCTACATAGATAATTAGTTACTATACTCTGTTCCAAAAATTTTAATGACCCTCATTACTGCTTATGCAGTTGCAAAATGCTGGAGTTCTTCAGTATGCAAAGCACTTCGGGTCAGACATCAAACACCACTTCAAAACTTATCTTTCTTGGTAACTTCTTGCTTTACATATCAGCCATCGTGTGGGCCAAAAAGCAGCAACCTATCCCAAGCCACGAAGACCATTAAATCCCTCCAGAATGTTCAAGCCCAGGAGAGCTGGGAAGCAAGAGAAAACTCATCTCATTTGACAGATCTCAATGCTAAATTTGAGATCTTCATTATTATACAACTCTGAAGCCAAAATCGTGCTTTAAAACGCAGAAGTCCTTGCACACACGCTGCAACAAAAAACTCTCAAATTTGAATGATTTCCAATACAACAGAATGGTAACACAAAGTTCTGTACTCTGCTTTGAGTCCTCATATTTCCTATACTATAGTCACTAAGTAGCAGAGGTCAGACTTTTAGCAACCTTATCACCATTATACAGTGTCAGAAGCAGCGTATTTCATACTTTGAAATGAAGCCAAGAAACCAGCTACTAGCAAGAAGATGTACTACCTACAAGTATCTGCTGGGTTAACCAGTATCCTTCACATTTCAGCTGTGAAGAAACAGGTGACATAGGCCTCAAGTTCATAAATTTAACACTAAGCCTAGTACAGAAACAGTTGGTTTTCCCTTTTTAAAGATACCTTTTCTGCTGTCCAGCCAAACATCAAACTCCACATTTCGATAGATCTCAGGGTCCAGTGCCTTTAGCACTTTATAAGGAACAGGCATCTTTGATGGATTTTCTGGAGGCTAAAAACAGAGTTGAAAGGGAGCATTAACAAGTGCATTTAATGTGTTCAGCATAGTCTCTATCCTGCCAGCATCTGTGGACCGTTTTAAGATGTACACACACCATTTCCCAAAAATTTCACTTCCACTATATTTGCCTAAAAATTAAAGCTCAAGAACATGAAAACACATTTAGGCATTCAGAAGCTGAACGGACTTTGGAAAGGTTAGAAACAGGCTCAAGAGTAACATTTGGCATGTTCTTTACTCAAAAAGAACTGAAGGACGCTAACCAGACCAATGAAGCCATGGCTTCAAAAGTTGGTGGGAATTTCAGTTATTACATCTGAAAACGGATTTCTATAGAGTTTCTAAAACTGTTCCAAAGTGATTTATACTGTTTTCAAAACAAAAGTGAACTGATTTAAACCATTTCTGGGAAAAAACAAACAGCAGACCAGGAAACATCTGCTAAGCTCCATCTTTTGGGGGGGGTAGCTAGAGAAACAAGAGACTCTCAGAAAGGAAAAAGGCTTATCCAATTTAATAGAAACTCAAGGGCAAAACCAAAAGACAAGCAGACGGAAGAAATAAGCCACTCACTTTCCAAAAAGTCATTTTAAAAAAGTGGAAAAGAGGGTTTAGCCCTAACAAGGGTAACATCATACAACAAAAACTAAAACCCACCATAAGGAATTCTTCCCTAACTGACAAACCTTTTCTTCTTCAATGCCTTGTTTGAACTTATCTTCCTGTGGATTGTCAGTATCGTTGCCTTCCCAGTTGTCCACTCTAAGTAATTGAAAATAAGATTACAAAAAGATACAATGCGTAATTTCTAGCCAGGATTAAAATCAACCAACTGTTCATACGATCTGAAAAAGCACCACGGTGCCATCAAGTGGTAGAGTTTGCCTTCAATGCTAGCCATGGCTGCGATGCAGTACAGGACAACCCTTTTCCTAGTTTCAAGAACATGACCTTTACTTGTTCTAACACCCACCCCTAACGAGGGTTACTGCTTGCATTAGGAAAGGATGAAGATGATCCCACTGACCGATTAAACTCTTGCGCTGTTAAGTACAACAAGACACCCTGTTCCAAGTCCTGTCAAACCAATGTCATCTGCAAGCATTCAGTAATGGTCAGGGGCATCCCTCAAGCCTTTCTAGTGACTTCAACAACACGGGCTATGAGGGTTTCTGTAGGTACATTCCATCTGTTCTCCTCATCCCAGTGATCCAGACTTGAATAATGCCACCATTTAATTGTCTATTTGGGGTACAATTCCATTAAAAAAGGACAAATAAGAAAATAAAGCAGAGCTCATTTTTTCAATACACTATTGCCTCTGCACAGCTAGAGGCTTAGAAGAGTAGTAACAGTTTCTCACTAAGAAAAATATTCTGATGACATAAGGAACAGTTTTATTTAAAAGTAACCTGTCATTTTTCAGATTAACACGAAACTGTAACATAGCCAGCAGCAGAGGATGTTCAATTACATGACACTTCCCAGCTCCAAGGAAAGCACACTCTCTTCCACAATATCCTTCAGCTTTGTGTTTGTGTCACGAGATAGGAAAAAGAGTTAATACCCCCTGAACATTCAAAGAAACTTAGAAAAGTTGCCCTTTGCAAGGTTTTAAATTTTTTTTTTTGCTTCCCTTTTACCACATCCCCTTCCCAAAGTACTACCTCTTTTCTGATGGATTTCTGGACGCTTTTTCATGAAGACAATCAAAGTTTGCATCCTCACTTCCTACAGAGCCACTGTTTCTGTTCTTCTTGGATCCACTTCGAAACACCTCAACTGCAGACCTTAATTCTTCCTCATCCATGCCGAACACATCTTTGTACAGGACCTCATATAATACAGCTGAACAAATCAACACAAAGCTCAAACCAAATTAAGATAATACCAGATCGATAAGAACTGCTACAATTTTCTAGATAAGCATATCTTCAGATATTATCTACTGTTATAAGGCACTAGTTATATTAAATTCAATTAAGGAGAGGATCATAAAAGAATTCAGGTGGGAAGAAGGGACCTCTGGAAGTCATCTGGTCCAATACCCCACTTAACAGATAGAATAATGAATGTATTTATATATTAATATACAATAAATGAGCTTCCATCTCTCTCCTCCCCACCCCTGAAAACCAAAACAAACACTGCCTATAAACATATGAAAACATGTAATTCTCTTCCATAGAAAAGATATTTCAAGTTTACCCTGGCAAATAGCAGCATTTTCCTGGAATTGTTTTGTATACACAGAGTCATAATGGCCGTTGCCGGAACAACACAGGAAAATCTGGGAAAAGTAAAAAAAAATAAAGGCTTTAAGGCTGGAATGATGTAAAACCTAACTTTCTATTTGATATCCTAGCTCAAGACTACATTATTCTTTCATTCTACAGTTGACACCAACTCATCAAGAAAACAATAAGTATTGACAATATAAATATGAAAAAGCTGTAGAATCAGCTTAAAACTGAATCCTAGGTAAAGTCTCTAAATTTAAAGTTTGCCTATTATACAAAGAAAAACTATCAATTTGTAGATCATGCTGTATTAAACATAAAATAAGAGTTTGTTTCCAGCTTACCTCTGAAACCACCAACCGCTCAAGAGGTAAAATAAATACAAGCCATTAAATGCAGTACCCCTGAGATACACTGTCCAAGTATCTAAGGCACATTTCACCTTTCCCTACCTGAGGGACTAGAAAAGCGTCTACTTCGCTAGCCCTCAACAAAACCTTGCTTTTAATAAGCAGTATTATGCTGCCTTTCGAAAAGATGCACGCTTTCTGCAACACATGCATCGATACACCAAGCAAACGTGTACCATCAAACCCCGTCTTGGCATGTGACCACAGCCAACTGCAACTGGCAGAAGCCCTTAGGCAGCTGTCAGCACATTGCCAGCAAGGATGCTTCCCAGGGAACCAGCAGGAGCTGGGATGCCAGGGCTCTTAATTCAGCATGCACTACGTCTTCTGCCAACACAAGCTCTCAGCTCGTGATGAGAATGAGCAACACCAGAAAGAGCTGCTGCCTGCATATGCAGTCTAATGACAGACAGCTGCCAACGCTTAATGAGAGCTCTGGTGGTAAAGCCTTTGAGGACAAACACACATTTAGACCATACTGCTTGATTTTTAAAGTTAGCCCATTTTGGAATTAGATTAAGCTACACAGGAAAGTACACAGAAAAAAGAAAGAGGCACATGTAAACGAAGACAGTAATACTAACCAACAGAGAACAACAGCTGCAGCAGCACAGATTTCAGAGCAGACTAGCCACTTTGGCAAATATAATAGCCCATACTGAAATCCATACCACAGCAACTTCACTGGCATGAAGCTGCCCAAGCTAGCCACGTAACTGCGTAGGCACACGTACGTGACCGCAGAAAAAACAAGAGAGGTCAAATGGGAGGTAATACAGAGTATTTCTCCTTTATGTTCCTTCTTTTTGCCTCCAGCAGTAATTCTCGTGTAGATAAGCTGTTCCATTAGCTCCCATTCTTAACTGGACTCAATTTGTATGTCACAGAAATGAATCAGTTTAAGATTAATCCATTCCCATTATCTTCCCCTTTTCAGGAAGAAAAACTGCACACCTCATCCGACTTCAGGAAGAGAGGCACTGGGGGTGGGGGAGAACACCTTCTCTTCACCAATATGATAAATATATCTTGTTCTGCTCTTCAACTCAACCCAGATATTTCATTCTACCCTGTCAGATCAGTCAAATTCCCACTGAGAAGTGTTTTTACCCAAAGAGATTTCAGAAACATGAAGGAATATTCTGGAATTGTGATGTTACCTCTTCCTGCCAAAATTAAACTTCTTTCCAATAACGAGCTGGAGTAACGAAAAAGATTGGCAGGGGAACAGCGCACAATCCATCCCTCAGATGGGAAGCAAAGCTACTATAATTGAATTAACTGTTGTGCAAATACTGTGCTTTTTCCATGAGCTGAAGTCAGCTTTGGGGTTTTGTTCAGATATGCAAGAGCACTGGAGTTACAAGAGCTCAATTCCAGTGGCAAGTTGTTTTTTTTTTTTTAACAACTAAGCAGGACTGGAGGTAACTAGGATTCAAGGGCAGGGGTAAGAAATTGCCTGACTTCTCCTCACCTTGTCTTCAAAGCCATTGTCTGTAGCATAAGTGGGTGGCTTTCCAGGGTACCGGTACAGAATAAAGTCTCGCCTATATAAGCAGAGGAAAAACAAGACTTGAAAGAGGACACTTTTAGTAGAACTGTGTTATGAAGAAGTTTGCAGAATCCGCTGCTGTTTTATAGAAAAATCAAGTAGAATACTTTTTCTGATAAATGAATGCTACCATACAGCAATAGCTAGATGAGCAAACACCACCCATCTTAAGGGGAAAAAAAAAAAATCATCTGGGAAAGACCATTATATTCAGTCACAGAATAGATCAAGTGCTTACGGCAGGGTGCTCAGACACTGAGACAATTAAGTCTAAGTGATTTAGTCACCCCGCAAAAGGATTAGAGCCTCAGTACAGGGAACTAGTAACTCCTGCAAAATTTCAGTTTGTTCCTTTAGTTCCTTTAGAACAGAACAAGCCTGCAAAGGGAGGGTTCTTCCTTCTACCACTGGACAGCCAGACTGCTTGTTACAGGATAGCGGCATTTTTAGCAAGACAGCAGCACCTGCACAGGCTTATGTTATCTTTGAAATAAGTATCAGGGTTTACGCATCAAGTAGGGCAAGCACTCCTCACTACTGGAGCTTTCAAGAACACCTACATGAGTTTTAGTCATGCTTGTAACTACCACACAGTGTTTCCACTACACAAGGCTCCTTGGTTTTTTTCCCCCCATTTTCCATCCTTCAGCCACTAGAAGGAAACACTGGACTTCAGAGTTTAACACTAGCAAAAAGATAACAAATAAACATCGCTGGAAACTGACCCTCCCCTTAATCCACACTATGGGAACAAGGGCTGTGATGGCATCCATTTACATGTTAGCTTAAGTAACTTCATTAGGGTAGCATTTCTCACCATTTCACACATTAGTATCTCGGCAACAAACAAATAGAAAGTTCTGGGGCCAGAACCCAAACACCATCAAGTCCAAAACAAAGTGAAACTTAAGAAAGAGACACTTACTTGTACAACACTGATAAAGCATTCATTTCCAGCTGGCCAGCACTTTCCTATGCAAGATTATGAGATTACATGAGATAGCAGAGCCATCTTCAACACCGAGAACTCTTTTCTAGCTCTCTGTAGTATTAAAATACCTAGCCAAACTCATCAGTTTGTTAAAACAAACAATGCATTGAGTTATTAGGATATCCGGGCGGGGGGGAGGGTGGAACCAAAACAACCCCAAACAAACAAACCAACCAAAAAACCATCTGCAACAGGGGAACCAAACAACCCCAAACAAACAAACCAACCAAAAAACCATCTGCAACATGGGATGGCCATGATTACCAAGCTGAGTAAGATGGAGTTAGTTCTGGCATCGACTCTTAAACACATCACTCAAGATACTTTTTTTAATTAAAAACACCGTATTTGTTTCAGAGACTGCTGCAATCACCATACTTATTGGTTAAGTCTAAAGAAATAGAAGTTTGAGCTCTAGTATTCGAACCCAGGGGTAACAGAAGGAGCAAGGGATTGCAAAGCCTGATAAACATTTGACACGAGGTATTCTCCACACATTTTGCTTTTTCCTTCTTAGAGAAGAATTGCAATTACGAATAAGGCCCACGAGAGGCCTCAGCTTTACTGTCCAATCTGCATAGATTACTCCTCTGCACCAACACAAATTCCCCACTAAAACTGATATTGTTTATACATGTGACTATTCAGTATAAACCCATAGTATTACCTATGCAAGTGAGATCCCAGGATTGGGGTCTATCTAAAAACAAACCAACCCAAACCACCATATTTTAAACCATCGCCTAATTACTTCCCTGTTCTAGTCTCCTCAAATTTTAATCTCTTGACCAGTATTTGATCAGTCTTACCTTTGGATCTCCTAGTCGTTCAAGGTATTTCTCAAATGATCCTTCCACATACTTTCAGCAAAACAAAGAAGAAAACAAATATAAAAACTTAGCCAGTTGGAAAGCAAAGTTAAACGTCAACACTATGCCATACATTACTAGCTGTTGAATGGGAGGGGGCAGGGCAGGGACCGGGGACATAGACACCAATTTGGGACCAGTCTGCCAATTCCTATCATTTCTGGGTTCTGAAGGGCTGTGGTCTGACTCGGGGTATGACTTCAGCTGCTCCCTGCCTTAGAGCATGGGAATGATTTGGGGTACCAACATGGAAATACCAAGAGATCCTAGGAAAAAAAAAAAAAAAAAAAAACAAGAGCATGAGTCTGAGTAATACTCAGTCACTGATCTCCCTCCTAGATTAGATTAAGCACTTAACTGTGATTACAGGGGGAAAAAACCCAAAACACACACCAAAAAAAACCACCAAACCAAAAAAACCCCAAAAACGTCCCGACGCCACACAAACCACCACACAAAACCACACCGCACATGCACCCGCACAAACCGCCACCTGCAAAACCAACCAAAAAAAAAACCCCAAACCCAAAACCCATGACTTTACGCAACAATTAAACACACCCTGGAGTCTTCCACCATCTCTTGATATTCGTTTCTTACTCCAAAATCCTACGTATTTCCTACCTACTGAATTCTGCAATGGTTGCTCCACAAAGAATATACTACTCAAATAACTGTGACCCTGCTGGTTACCTGGGCATTAGTTACTTGCTCACTTTCGAAACCCAAAACCCATGACTTTACGCAACAATTAAACACACCCTGGAGTCTTCCACCATCTCTTGATATTCGTTTCTTACTCCAAAATCCTACGTATTTCCTACCTACTGAATTCTGCAATGGTTGCTCCACAAAGAATATACTACTCAAATAACTGTGACCCTGCTGGTTACCTGGGCATTAGTTACTTGCTCACTTTCAGGAACTTCAGAAACAGAAAGTCAAATAAAACTTGTGTGATTGCAACTCAAGGTAAGCAAGCAATCACCCTGCCATTTCTCTTCTCTTACATGCATCAAGCCTGGCAAAGCATGGCCTATTTTCAGCATATATGTTCATGTGCGTATGTTTATGGCTAAACCACACACCCCCTCCCACATTACTTCCTAACTATGCATGCAAAACTGCTTAACACACACGCATTACTTACAGATTCAAACTTCTGCTGGTGTTGCCTCATAAACAAGACGCAAGCTTTCCTAACTTCCATGTGATGAATTTGAGATGAAAACAGCTGAAAAGATAAAGGTTATGAAAGAACAAAGGAGAAAACTGCAGAGTTTAATTTATGCTTCACATTAGGCTTATTTTACTCGTAGTTTATAAAGACTAACACCACCACAAAACACTTCACAAAACAGGGAGAGGAGACACTACAGAGGGCCACAGGCACTTGGGGGATGAAGCCGAGGAAAGCCCAAGCGACCCAGGAGCCCGCCTGCCCGAGAACCCAGGGGGCTGATCGCACCCGTCCCCACCCGCCACACCTCACTTTGGCCACCCAGGACAGGGAGAGGAGACACTACAGAGGGCCACAGGCACTTGGGGGATGAAGCCGAGGAAAGCCCAAGCGACCCAGGAGCCCGCCTGCCCGAGAACCCAGGGGGCTGATCGCACCCGTCCCCACCCGCCACACCTCACTTTGGCCACCCAGGAAGCCAGGAGCACCCCCTACCCAACCCA